TTTTTTTCCAAGCATGGTCCAAAGGTAGGAGAAAAGCTCTCCCGGAACTCGACTTCCCCATTTTACAGCTAGATGTCTTAATTTGTCCAACATATTCCGCTTTCGCTCAGGTGACTGTGAAGCCATCAGATGACGCAAATCCATTTGCATCTGAGGCACCAGCACCAGTTACTTGGATGACAAGCGGCACAGCGATTATGAGGAATGTAATGTTGAGTAGAGTCCTGACATGAACCCAGGCACATCATCTTTGGGCTGTGTCCACATTGTTTATTGGTGTTTTTGCATGTTTGGTACCGCCAGGGCTGTGAATCATGTCCATCACGATGAAACAATCACTGGAGCCATAAAACTCCAAGACCTACAAGAGAATAGGTTTATTGCATATGGATTGTTTGGGACATCCATGCTAGGCCTTTCCGTTTCCTCAATGTTCACATTTGCATTCATTTGTTTGTGCTGCCAAAGTTTGATTGGAATAGCTGCAGAACCTTTCCGGGCGACTTGCAACATGTTATCAGCCGGGCATTTGTCTAATACATGAACAGTTTGTGGAACTAAGTTTTGGAGTTGATCTATTTCTGGCGGTGTCGGGCAGTTGATAGAAAGAGTTCTAGGTTGGTGTGGTTAGGTTTTGGAAGAGCTATTTGCACAAGAAGCCATTCAGGGGAAACACCAAGTTGTAGTTTTCTTTGCAGTTGCTGCTTGCCAGCTACGTGTGTTGAGGTGAGTACGCCGGCTACGGATCCTTTCTCAGCACCACCAGTTGCTTGGATGATAACCGGCATTAACAACAGACTTATGCAGTGCCAACATGGTCCTATTTTGGTTTAGTTCATGTTGGCACAGCCAGGAATTATCTAGATGAAGCTGCGCATGGCAGTATAGTATTGTATTGCAAATCATGAAGGCACGTTTCCATGGGATTGGGAAGTGACGAGCCAGCCCAGTGACTGATTGTTTGATTGTGTTGGGAAGCGGGTATCAAGAGTCATTGGCGGCTGGTGTGTGGTCCTGAGCACGCTTTTTTTCCAAGCATGGTCCAAAGGTAGGAGAAAAGCTCTCCCGGAACTCGACTTCCCCATCTTTGAACTATATTTTTTAAGTTGTCCAACATATACCACTTTTGCTCAGGTGGCTGTGAAGCCATCAGATGACGCAAATCGAGCATCAAAGGCACCAGCACCAGTCACTTGGATGACAAGCGTCACGGCACAACAATTATGAGGAATGTAATTTTTAGTAGAGTCCTGAACCCAGGCACAACATCTTTGGGCTGTTTCCGATGTTCACATGTTGATTCCGGCAACTTGCAACATGTTGAGGTGAGTATGCCGGCTACGGATCCTTTCTCAGCACCACCAGTTGCTTGGATGAGAACCGGCATTAACAACAGACTTACACAGTGCCAACATGGTCCTTTTTTGGTTCAGTTCATGTTGGCACAGCGACAAAAGGAATCATTTCCATCAGAAACCACCAGTTTTTGAGGGAAGCACGTTGCCATTACAGACACAGACAATAGGTCTAACAACTTCCTGCGGAAAGTATTTCGTTGTAAGCGCAAAGGCCCTTCTTGTGATTTGTTTTGTGAACAAGCTAGTGCACTGTCTAGAAGGGTCGGGAGATTGGCTTCTCGTTGCTTACCGACAACTTGTTGCTAAGACATGGTCAGAGATATGAGATATGAATAGCATCAATATCTAGACGAAGCTGCCCATGACAGTATAGTCTGGCAAACATAGAGGCACATGTCCATGGGATTGGGAAGTGACGAGCCAGCCCAGTTGACTAGTTGTTTGATTGTGTTGGGAAGCGGGTATCATGAGTCGTTGGGGGCTGCTGTGTGGTCCTGAGCACGCCTTTTTCCAAGCATGGTCCAAAGGTAGGAGAAAAGCTCTCCCGGAACTCGACTTCCCCATTTTACAGCTAGATGTCTTAATTTGTCCAACATATTCCGCTTTCGCTCAGGTGACTGTGAAGCCATCAGATGACGCAAATCCATTTGCATCTGAGGCACCAGCACCAGTTACTTGGATGACAAGCAGCACGGCACAGCGATTATGAGGAATGTAATGTTGAGTAGAGTCCTGACATGAACCCAGGCACAACATCTTTGGGCTGTGCCCACATTGTTTATTGGTGTTTTTGCATGTTTGGTACCGCCAGGGCTGTGAATCATGTCCATCACGATGAAACAATCACTGGAAGGGCTATAAGACTCCAAGACCTACAAGAGAATAGGTTTATTGCATATGGATTGTCTGGGGTAACCGGGTAACCGGGTCCATGATATGCCTTTCTTTTCCTCAATGTTCAGATTTACATTCATTTGTTTGTGCTGCCAAAGTTTGATTGGAATAGCTGCAGAACCTTTCTGGGCGACTTGCAACATGTTATCAGCCGGGCATTTGTCTAATACATGAACAGTTTGTGGAACTAAGTTGGTGGAGTTGATCTATTTCTGGCTGTGTCCAGCAGCGGATAGAATGGGTTCCAGATTGGTGTAGGTAGGATTTGGAAGAAGTATTCACCCATGGAATACTGCGGGGAGTCTGCCCTGCTTCGCGGGGAGAATGCAGCCCCTTCCATCCACTTGTATTCACTACATCATGAGGCCGCCTTGTGAGACTTGAACCTGTCTTTTGCTGCTCCGCCAAGATGACTGGCTCAAGCCCGTGCTTATCATTTGATATGTTTGTCTTATTTTGCGTTATTTATGTTCTGATTATTTCTTATGACGTTTCTTATTCTTCCTCTTCTTTCTTGATCGTTTTATTCCTCTTTATTATGATTCTTATTCTGGGTCCTCCTCCTCTCCATCATCATCATGTTCTTATTCTTCTCTTGCTTGCATCGTCTTTTCTTCTTATTTGTTTATGTGTATTCTTTGTTTTTCTTGTTTTTTTGGTTTTGTCTTCTTCTTCTGCTTCTTCTTCTTCTTCTTGTTCTTTGTCGTCTTCTTCTTCCTTAAAGCGATTTGAAGGGAAGGGCTCAGAAGCCAATACACACTATGCTAATAATGCACTGTCACCCTACACTCAGAACCTGTTGGGCTTTGTTGCGCCCATGTTGGCAAAAAAGCTTTTCAATCAACGTCAAACACACTAGAAAAGTACTGAAAGTGAACAAACTAAAGCTCAAAGCTTCAAGCTCAATGCTTCCGCTTGGGGATCACACACGGCACCTTGGGTGCGGGCGGATTTGCACAAGAAACCATCCAGGGGGGGAAGCACGAGTTCCAGTTTGTTTTTTGCAGCTGCTGCTTGCCAGCTATGTTTGTTGAGGTGAGTACGCCAGCTACGGATCCTTTCTCAGCACCACCAGTTGCTTGGATGATAACCGGCATTTAACACAGACTTACGCAGTGTCAACATGGTCCGTTTTTGTTTCAGTTCATGTTGGCACAGCAACGGCTGGCAATCATTTCCATCAGGAACCATCGTATTTTGGGGAAGCACGTTTCCATTACACAGACAATAGGTCTACAGTAATTATGTCCTGCAGAATGTATCACGCGGTAAGCACAAAGGCCTTGTGATTTGTGTCGTGAAGAAGCTAGTGCTTGGTCTGGAAGGGTCTGGAGATTGGCAACTTGTTGTTCGCCCAGTGGACTGATTGTTTGATTGTGTTGGGAAGCGGGTATCAAGAGTCATTGATGGCTAGTGTGTGGTCCTGAGCACTTGCTCTTCAAATCATGGTCCATTGCTCTGACGGAAGTCGATTTCCTCATTTTGGAGCTAGGTTTCTTAGTTTGTCCAACATATTCCACTTTTGCTCAGGTTTCTCTGAAGCCATCAGATGAAGCGAATCCATTCGCATCAGAGGCACCTGCAGCTACTTGGATGACAAGCGGCACAGGCTGAAATATCCCATATTTAGTGGAGTCCTGAACCCCGGCACAACAGGATTGTGCAGTGTCCACATTGTTTATTGGTGTCTTTGTATGTTTGGTACCGCCAGGGCTGTGAATCATGTCCATCACGATGAAACAATCACTGGAGGGAAGGGCATTATATATATATATATACACATGAATTCAAGGCATACAAGGGACCGGGCTCATTGCATGTTTACTGTCTCGGGGATCCATGATATGCCTGTCCGTTTCCGCGATGTTCACATTTGGATGTCATAACTCTGTCAAAAAAAGCACCAAAACACCATCAAATCCATTTGTCCGTGGTGCCAAGCTTGTATTCATAGAGCGGACCACTTGGGTCAACCTTCGTTATCAGCCTGAGCAGTTTGTGGATTGGGGCTGTGTCGAGCAGCGGATAGAATGAGTTCCAGGTTGGTGTTGTTAGGTTTTGGAAGATGTATTTGCACAAGAAACCATTCAGGGGAAACCTCAAGTGTCAGTCTTCTTCGCAGTTGCTCCTTGCCAGCAACACCTAAACAACGCAATCTGCGTTTGTTGAGGTGAGTATGCCGGCTACAGATCCTTTCTCAGCACCACCTGTTGCTTGGTTGATAAGCAGCATGGCGTTGCTGAACACCTGCAGACATGTGAACCCATAAACAACAGATTTAAGCAATGTTAACATTGTCCTGATTGTTTTGGTTCATGTTGGCACAGTGACGACTGGAATCATTGTGGCCCCAAGGACCACTTGGGGCAACTTGCAACTTTGAACAGTTTGTGAAGTTCACTTTGTAAGAGTTGATATATTACAGAGTGTGTCAGGCAGCGGACAGAATGAGTTCTAGGTGGGTGAAGTTCGGTTTTGGAAGAGGTATTTACACAAGGAACCATTAAGAGAAAAGAACAACCTCAAGTTCAATTTTTTTTCGCAGTTCCGGCTTGCCAGCAACATCTGAAACACGCATTCAGCGTTTGTTGAGGTGGGTATGCCGGCTATGGATCCTTTCCCGGCACCACCAGCTACTTGGATGATAATCGACATTTAGAACAAACTAACGCAGTGTCAACATGGGCCTGTTTTGTTCATATTGGCAATGCCACGTCCTATTCCAGCATGTGCTGTGCCCAAAGTGTACAGACAATAGCCTATGTATGTCCTGCAAAATGTAATGTGTTGTATGCACGGAAGCCCTTCTTGTGATTTGTGTCGTGAACCAGCTTGTCGTGCACGGTCTGGAATTGTCTGGAGATTTGCAACTTGTTGCTCACCCACAACTTGTTGCTAAGGCATGGTCAGAGATTGAGATATCAATAGCATTAATATGTTGACGAATCTGCGTAGGAGTATAGTCTTGCAAACATGGCATGTTTCCATGGGATTGGGAAGTGACGGGCCAGACCAGTTGACTAGTTGCTTGATTGTGTCGGGAATTGGGTATGATGAGTCATTTGTGGCTGGTGTGCAGCCCTGACCACTTTCTGTTCCAAACATGGTCCAGTGGTAAGAGAAAATCTCTCCCCAAACTCCATTTCCTCATTATAGAACTAGGTTTGATAGTTAGTCCAACATATTCCGCTTTCGCCTAGGTCACTCAGAAGCCATCAGATGGAGCAAAACCAGAGGCACCAGCACCAGTTACTCGGATGACCAGCGGCACAGCGTTGCTGATGAATGCAAAGCAGTGTCCATACTGTAGTTTTTTTTGGGTTCCTTTTCATGTTTGTTCAGCCAGGACTGGAGGGAACGATTATTTAGACTGCAAAACCTACAAGATAACAGGTTTATTTCATTTGGATCGTCTTGGGCATCCATGATATGCCTGTTCCTTTCCCTGGTGTTCACATCTGTTTTTCTTTTTTTACGACATTGAGTCAAAAGCTCCAGAACAGCAAATCCACGTGTGCCTCTTGATAAACGTTCAATCATAAACGAGCTACAGAAGCACTTGGGGCAACCTGCAAATTGTTTGGTGGTTGTTGCGTGTTCAAGTTCATGTGGTAAAATGAGCTATTTATAGGACATGTGGGTTGGTTGTAGAGGAGCTCTCCACATAAGAAACTATCAAGGGGGACTTCAAGCTCCGATGTTCTCCACAGCTCCTCCTTCCTACCAACGCAATCCACCAACGCACTCCACTGATCCATTCGCAGTTCTGACAGGATCACAATTGGCGCAGCGTTTCTGAGCACTTACAGCTGCACACAAATGAACTCATGAACAACAAATTGTTGCAGTGTTAACATGGTCATTCTGGTTCCTGTTTATGTTTGGTAAAGCCAACATCATGAATATTCAATCAAAGGCGTTACTTAAACAGTGTTTGTCCTCCAACCCGTGGTCAATGACATGAACCGGTGGTAAATCAGGCCCATGTACACAAGGAAATGAGTCGATGACCGGGACAAATGGGGACCAACAAACATCTCGTGTGTCGCAAGAAGCGGACACAGCACGAAAAGGAGACTTGAATAGACTCACATAAACTTGGCGGGTATTACGTTGTTTCGGTGTTCAATGCAATTCTCCAAGTGCCTTGTGTCTTTGTCCAAGTTCTTGTTTCATCACTTCTTGAGAGAAAAGACCTTGCAACAGAAACACCTTTGACCTTGAACAAAATGAAAACAACACACGATTCTCAAAGCAATGTGTTTTTTGGTTTCCATGAACGGTGTCGTTGAACGTCAACAGGACCTTCATGGATCGCCCGTCGATTCGACGGCCTGGCCGAGCAGGCTGACCAGCCAAAGGAGGCCCGGGGCCGAAGGGGAAACAACGGGAGAAGGAGGTGGAAAACAAAGATGTACCAATGGACTACCCCACACTACCTATAGGCTTCCATTGGGCATCCCTTGGAGGGTCCTGGTATGATTTACTTTGTGTAGTTTTCTCACTGTTTACAGTAATAATGTGCTGGCACATGATTTGTGCGAACGCAAAACCTTGCTTTCATGGTGTTCTGGCCAGCGCCTTGCCCGGGCCGACTCTTCGCTCGGCGACGCGTCTTTTTTGGCGATGCGTCGGACATCGTTGCGGTCATCATACGGGGACCCGGGTCCGAAAGAGACGA